GAGCTCCGCCTGATGAAAGGAGAGGGTGAACGTGAAAGTGAACGTGAAAGGAGATCTTTCATGAAAGAACAGTCACCACAATAGAAGGTCAACCAGCGGTGGGATTCAAAAACTTTTACCACCGGTTCAGTGGTGGGCATGCTTTGCGCGTGTGCACATACTTTGCTTGCACGCGCATGCCAAACACGCATTTTGCACAGGCGCAGAGGCATTCCAACTCACCTCCTGTAAGCCTGCACTCTCCCGGCCACTTCAGCAGCTACCGTGCAGCACTCAGCTGTGCCTCACAAAACAGCCGCGCTTCAAAAGCAGAAGATAAAGGTGAGTATGAGAGCCAGGATAGACGAGTGTCTTCGCTGCTCATCGCCGCTATCAGCTCGGCAGAACTGGGCCGAACCGGTAGCATACCACCACTAAGGTCGACCGCTAAGAAGTTATTGCTACTAAACTCAAAGAATGTAGCACTCTTTCTGGTTTTATTTACTTTACTTTCCTACTGAAATTATGAGAAACTTTTCCAAACTAAACATTCATTTATACAAACAATCCTCCACTTCTTTCTTTCTTTCTTTCTTTCTTTTTTTCTTTCTTTCTTTCTTTCTTTCTTTCTTCTTCCTCCTCCTCCTCCTTCTTTCTCCTTCCCTTTCCTAATCATGATCCTATTTTTGATACTATTTTTGACTTTGATTTTTTTTAAAAAAGAAATGGATAAAAAGAAGACACTGATGTTTTACTGGAATGAAAGATGTGTGACTTTTGGAGAAATTTATTGTTATAGTTCTAAAATTGCTCTGTGAAGGTCTGAGGGCTATTATGTCCTGGAGACTGTTTGCTACACTGGTATTCATGGAAGTTTCTTAATTTGTGAAATACCAATATGGATTGACTGACTGACTGATTGAAACATCCCAGCATGTTGAGCTGAACTGGTGTTCAGTGTGGACCAGTGATTATCAAGCTTGGTAACTCTAAGACATCTGGATTTCAACTCGCACAATTCCACAGGCAACGTAAAGTCCAGATAACTTAAAGTTGCTAAGCTTACCTCCTGCCAGATTGGTAAAGATGTTCTCAACTAGGAGTCCAAAATGCTGGAAATGCAAAAATAAACAGGGTACCTTCTCCCACATGTGGTGGACATGCTCGGAAGCTAAAAATTACTGGTGTAGAATTTATAAGTGGATAGAGGAAATAATGAAAAAAACTGAATTCAGACCAGAATTGTATCTATTAGGAATATTAAGGGGAGACCACACCAAGACAGATGTATATATTATTTTACATATAATAACAGCGGCCAGGATTGTGTACGCACAGTACTGGAAACATGAAACTATACCACCTGCAGGGACCGTGTTAAAAAAGACTCTCGCACAGAGATGAACAGGCTTACTCTAGAGTTCAAAGATAGAAATGAAACGGAGTATTACTTAGTCTGGGACGCCTGGTATATTTGGTTTGACAATAGACATAAAAGTATCATAGTAATTGATACATGAACAGGAATGTTGACAATGTCATAACGTTTTGCAAATGTAAATATGTTTTTAAATTGTTGAACAATGCTTAATACAATTTTAAAAATAAAAAATGTAGTTGCTAAGCTTGATTAACACTGGTCTGAACCACAAACCTGATTGGTCATTTCTCAGTTTTCTGCCCTTCCCATCCACCCAAGGAAACTAAACTAAACTTAAGAGCGACTATAAGATGATTAAAGGCCTGGAGATTAAAACATATGAAGAACGGTTGCAGGAATTGGGCATGGCTAGTCTAGAGAAAAGAAGAATTAGGAGAGACAGGATAGCAGTATTCCAGTATTTGAGGGGCTGCCACAAAGAAGAGAGGGGTCAAATTATTCTCCAAAGCACTGGAGGGCAGGACAAGAAACAATGGATGGGAACTAATCAAGGAGAGAAGCAACCTGGAATTGAGGAGAAACTTCCTAGGGCAATTAACCAGTGGAACAGCTTGCCACCAGAAGTTGGTACTTTTGTTGGAATCTGAAAAAGCAGCACATTTTTGCAATTTCAACACGTGAAAGAAGAAGTTGTAGGTGATCCATCACTGGAGGCTTTTAAGAAGATACTGGAGAGTCAATTGTTTGTTGGAGTAGAAGACCTCCAAGGTCACTTCCAGCTCTATTCTGATTAATTGATCGGCCAAGTCTACATGGGAAGGTTCAATTAAACTTATTTTTTTGTTATTCAAGGCTAGGCAGGGGAATATTTTCAACAGTCAGCTAGTTAGTGTTAAATAAGGGTCAACAGCAATCAAGGAGAGTTGGGACTGAGTTCTTTCGTGGCTATGTAGGGATTCTCAGCTGTTTCCCCTTTTCACTCCATCTCCAGATTCCACCATCCCTTTTCTTACAACTAGGGAGACCACAGGTTGAAGCAGTCCCTAAACCATTGACATCTAAGAAGATCAGACAGACTTCTCAAACGGCTTGCAGTACACTCTGCAAAAAAAAAACCTGGGATTGCTTATATTTAAAGAGTGCCCACACAGCAGTCATAATTTATGTCTTAATAACTTCCACCCTAAATGGCTCCCTTAGGGCTATCGTTGAATTCTGCTTGGTTGTATACAGGCTACTGCAAAATGCAAGAACCCACCTCTTGAACAAAATAATAATAATAATAATAATCCAACCGCCAGGCATATATTATAGCAGTCCTCTAAATGCGCCAAAGTTCCTGCTGATTAATGACAAGAATTAAGGGGACTCTGTCTGTAGAACATTGAGAATGAAAGAGGAAAAAAAGGTCCATATCAAGACTGAATGAACATCTGGGTATGTCTAGTTTAATGAAAAGAAGACTGGGGTGACATGATAGCATTGTTCCAATATCTCAGGGGCTGCCCCAAAGAAGAGGGAGTCAAGCTATTCCCAAAGCACCTGAGGGCAGGACAAGAAACAATGGATGGAAACTAATCAAGGAGAGATTCAGCCTAGAACGAAGGAGGAATTTCTTGACAGTTAGAACAATTAATCAGTGGAACAACTTGACTCCAGAAGTTATGAATGCTCCAACATTGGAAGTTTTTTTTTTAAAAAAAAATGTTGGATAACCATTTGTTTGAAGTGGTGTAGGCTTTCCTGCCCAAGCAGGGGGTTGGACTAGAAGACCTCCAAGGTCCCTTCTAACTCTGTTATTCTATTCTATCCTATCAAAGCTGACTTTGGTTATTTGGTTGATGAGAGAAACTTGATAAACATTTGTTCCATGAGTTCGTCTAATTTTCTTTGAAAGTCACACCTAGAAGTTCATACACCTTCAGAGAACAATAGAGTTGGAAGGGACCTTGAAGGTCTTATAGTCCAACCCGCTCTTCAAACAGGATACCTCTAAACCATTTCAGACAAATGGTTGTCCAGTTTCTTTTTGAAAGCCTTCAGCGACGGAGCACCCACAACTTCTGAAGGCAAGCTGTTCCATTGGTTGATTGCTCTCACCATTAGGGAAATTTCTCCTTTGTCCTAGGTCGCTTCTCTCCTTGGTCAACTTCCATCCGTTGTTTTCCATCTTGCTTTGGAAAATAATTTGACACCCCCCTCCCAAATCTTTGTAGGAACCCCTCAAATATTGGAACACTGGTATCATATCCCTAATCCTTCTTTTCATTTCCAATTCCTGTTACCGTTCTTCGTACATTTTAGCTTCCAGACCCTTAATCATGTTACTGTAGGTGTAAATTTATTTATTTATTTGATTTCTCAAATAACTGAAACTCAACCAATGCCGTCAATGAGCCCTAAATAATGCAACTTGCCTCAATTCTTCAGCTTCCATTACAAAGGTAAGCGCTCTCTCTCTCTCTCTCTCTCTCTCTCTCTCTCTCTGTGTGTGTCTCTCTCCATTGGTGGGGGAGGGAGATGTACAAAATATTGACTTCTATCCGTCCATCAATTATACAATCATTATGGGATATAGATCCTGCCTTTCCAAATCCAAAATCAGACATTCCAAAAATAAAAATAAAAAACCTCTTGATCATCATAACCACCCTAAAAATCAATTATAAAAAACATTTAGTGAATGGAGTAATGCAAAATACGCCACAGCGAAAAAAAACTGAAAGCGGTCCTGGTTTTAAAGCAAGAGGTTCTATTTGGCTGATGGAAGAACACCAAAGAAAGAAAGAAGAAAATTAACATTTCTGGAAATAGAGGCTCTGTATGGGTATAGAATATTGTTTCATCCTAGAAGCAAAACAATTCGTTTTCAATTCTAAAAATGTTCTTATTTAAATGGGTGTGTAAGTGTGTATGTTGGTTTACACTCCCTCTCTATGTTTTTGTGACAGAGAGAGAGAGTGTGATGACCCAGGTGGGATACAAAAGCAACAAAGTCACAAAAACTGATGAAATCCTTTTAATTCCTTCACCTTGGCCTCCAAGGTTCAATTATCATTGACTGGAGGAAAAACTCCCCCATAAACAGTTGCAAAAAGGAAGAAATGCCCTTCAAACTCAAAATGCACAAAAATTATAAATAGAAAAAAACAACACACACCACACTGAAGCAATTAATGAGACAAGGCAGGATAAGGGCTTGAAGATGTCCACAGATATTGAAATGTACACACTGGGAAGGATGCCAGAACTCAAATAAGAACTGACAAACTAGAAATATTTTCATGCTTTGCTTCCAGCACTGGACCATGCGCAGTTTGTCCTTTTAAACAGTCCTCGCAGCTGCAGCCCATGAAGGGGATCAGGGCCCTTTCCTCCCCCGTAGACCACGCCATTCATGTTTCTCCCTTATCCGCTCCTCCCTGCGTGCCCTAGGATGAAGAGGGAATGGGCCTGGGTCTTCCTCTGAATGCTCAGCCGGCCCGTGCCCTTCCCCAGTTTCCTCCACAACCTCTGGAGCCACACTCCCACTCCCTGTGGGCTATTCCTCCTCTCCCTCGGAGTCAGATTCCAACAGGGGCATGACAGAGAGATACAGACACAAAGAGACCCACACAGATCAAATCTTGAAAAATGATACCTCTGATCTTTTGGGCTGATTTTCATTATCCGTTCCTAGAGGCGGTGTTTTTTCCCACTTTTCTGCAACCTGGTTGGCTTCTTCTACCTTTTGCTGGCAACTTTTCTGAGAGTTCAGTAGTGTCACTTCATAGAATTCTTGAATGTCTGTTGGTCAAAGAGAAATAATACATTTTTATAATAAAAAAAAATAGAACAGTGGTATTTGATGTAATGGAAACGGAGGTTACTAATCTTTTTTTTTTTAACTTAAAATCAGTATACATGATGATGGACTTGTTGAAAAATACATTATGCCTGAATATGAGCAGAAGTGCTGACATAAAAATTGTTATTCCATAGTGCCTAGACTTTTTAAAGGGCCATTTTCCTTAAAAATGTTGCATTAAGCTTTTCATAAATATTATATGAGTACATGAATGATGCATTGCTCATCATTACTGAATGAAAACTAAAAATAGGCATATTCATTGGAAAATATTCCAATAGATGCCAAACAATAAATCATTGTCTCCACAATGTATAATGTACATAAAGTTGCGGTGAAAGGTATCCACCAGGTAATCTTACAAGCTTCTACCAAATCATAGTAGGTTTCAGTACCAAAGTTTCACTACAAGATGCCCCTCTCAATACAGGTAGTTCTCGACTCACGACCATAACTGAGCCCAAAATTTCTGTTGCTAAGTGAGACCTTTGTTCGGTGAGTTTTTGCCACATTGGACGACCTTTCTTGCCACAGTTAAGTGAAGCATCTCAGTTATTAAGTTAGTCATACGGCTGGTTAAGTGAATCCCATTGACTTTGCTTGTCACTAAAGGGATCCTGTGACTCTCACCGTCATAAATAGGAACCAGTTGTCAAACATCTGAATTTTGATCACATGACTAGGTTGCAAAGGTCTTATGTAGGAACAATTGTCGTAAGTCACTTTTTTCAGTGCCCTTGTAACTTTGAAAGGTCATTAAATGAATTGTTATAAGTCAAGGACTACTGCACATAAAGTGCCCTTGGGAAAAAAAATCTTTACAGCAAACTGTGAGGCTCAAAGAATCACATTTAGTCCTATGTATATAGTGGCATTTTTAATCTATTTAACTTACTAAATGTTTTAGATAGGTTTTAGACTAGGTTTTTATTATTATTATCATCATTATCATTATCATTATTATTATTATTATTATTAAACACTCTGTAGTGTGATTGTGATGTGGTGTTTGGGGCACTGTGCTGGAGTAGCTTTCAAATTTCACTGTATTTATGGAATGCAATGACAATAAAGGTATTCTATTCTATTCTACAGCTGATTTACTGCTAAATTTAAGATGATTTACTGTGCTGCCTATTGTGACCTGATGGCCGCTGGTCCTTCCAGCAGCCGAATCGGAGGAGGAGGAGGAGGAGGAAGCGGTGGCATGGGAGTCAGGATTAGCATCAAGGCAACCAGAGAGCTCTGAGGGGGGAGAAGGAATGGAGCTGGGAGAGAGAGAGAGAGAGAGAGAGGGAGGGAGAGAGAGAGAGAAAGAAAGAGAAAGAGAGAGAGACACGGAGCCTGAACCATCTGTCAGCCCTCAGATGGAAAGTCAACAGCCCCCAAGTCTGGAGGTGGCTGATGAGGAAGAGGAGGAACAGCTGGGTCCAGGGCCTGACACGTGGATGCACAGAAGGCAGAGGAGAGGAGAGCAGTGGAAATCCGTGGGCCGGCCCTTGGGATCGAACAGCCATTGCTGCTAGCAAAGCCCCATCATAGCTCTGGGGATAAAAGGCAGGGGCCGGAGATGAATAGATGTGGCAGACAACTATTCATCTCACTGCCAGATGGACTTGTTAGCCTGTGGTGAGAGAGAAACTTTTTGCCAGGGCTGCTGGCTCTCCTAATAAAGGAATCTTTCAGTTAACTTCAGAGGGTTTGTTGTGTTTGGGGAGCTGGGTCAGAACACCGATATTCAAGAATCTAGTCAACTAACGGTCGGCACTAAATTGGCACTAGATAAGAATTAACAGCATTCAAGAGGGATTGGATTTAGACAGCTTGTGGGAACGTAATGATTCTAAACTGATTCCTCTCTTGACTCCACCTTCCAGGCTCTGATTGTCTTCCTACACAAGGAGAACTAATTCTGAGTGGTGACAGGAAAAAAATTCAGTCAGGAGATCAACAAGCCAAAATTGTTTCTATTCACTGATCCTATCTTGATAGTACAAGCAGTCCTCACTTAACAACTGCCCTGTTTAGCAATTATTCAAAGTTACAACAGCACTTAAAAAGGTATGATTTAAAGTGCTATGCTATGCTACAATGATAGTTATACTTTTAAAAAGATATTTAATAAGAAGAAATTTTAAAAGTTTGCTTCAGGAACATGTAACATCAAAGAACAAAAGCAGGATGATTTCCAGGGGTGGAATTCTACAGGTTCGCACCTATTTGCTAGAACCGGTTGTTAACATTCTAAGAAGTTCAGAGAACTGGTTGTTAAAAGAAATTACTGGCCTAATCCTGTAAGGAAGGCAGGAAGGAAACATTCTGGGGTTGCTTACAGAAACTGCCTCTCCGTTAACCCTTATTCCATTCTTGGCAGGACTAGACTTCCTGTCTCAGGAAATTCTCTGGAGTTTTTTCCCCTCCTTTGCTGGTACTTTGCTTGTGTGGAGTGACCATTCAAAGTTACAATGGCACTGAAAAAAGTGACTTATGACCATTTTTCACACTTACGACTGTTGCAGCATCCCCACAGTCATGAGAGACCAGGTGAGGAGATGCGTGCCTCGATGTGAGTGATGTTGAGTTGGCCACACCCAGCCAGTCACATGACCACCAAGCCATGCCCACCAACTAAGCCACGCCCACAGAACTGGTTGTTAAAATATTTGAATCCCACCCCTGATAATTTCCATTTAAAAAGATACTTAACAGAATAACAGAGTTTAACAGAATAACAGAGTTGCAAGGGAGCTTGGAGATCTTCTAGTCCAACCCCTGGTCAAGCAGGAGACCCTAAACCATTTCAGACAAATGGCTGTCCAATCTCTTCTTAAAAACCTCCAGTGTGGGAGCATTCAGAATTTCTGGAGGCAAGTTTTTCCACTGATTAATTGTTTTCACCATTCACCTTGACTCTACCCTGAATTAAGGGATGACAGTATTGTAAAAAGGGAGGTTTTTAAAAAAATAAATAAAGGCAGGATATAAATAAATAAACAAATGCAAACATATATACATATATGCATGTGTACAATTAGCACGCTTCCTTTCAGCCCCTATTTTTCTAGCCTATTTAGGATGACTCCATCAGGATGGGAGATGTCTTGACATGCAAACAAACCCAGCATTTCTGTCCCACATCCACCAAAGCTTCTTACGCTTGTCGAATAAATAAGGTTTTTATATTGGGCATGATTTGTTGAAAGATCCAAGAGCAATCATTCCATCTAGGCAGTGAACAGCAGGCGCTTTGAAAACACACAGTTCTGCCAATCTGCATGTGAGGAAAGTTCATGCGCTTGTATGAGGAAAAGAGAGAAAAGGAAACTGAAGACCGGCTAATATTTTCTTGGTCCTATCTCTTTCTCTCTTAGCTTAACGAGCCCGTGTCTAAATTCATCGACTCTTGAGACACATTGCAGCAAGCTCTATTCGCCAGGGATAATCCCTGGAGTATCACAACGATGGGGAGGATCGGGTATCTCCCAGCTTGATTGGAGCAAAGATAAACTACCCACTGTGTTCTAGATCACATCTGCAGTGGTCTTTGATAGTGTCGTGTATGTGGCCGATAGAGCAGGGCTGATTCCATTAGTCCTACGACAGTCGATGCTTGAAAGGGTGCTTCTCATGAACCAATATAGCTGAGAACCAGATGGGTTGCGTGCGCGCACACACATACACATGCACACACAAAAGGTTCACAGTGGTGATGATTTTTTATTTAATTTTTGTTACTTTGTTTCCTTCAGTTTGTAAACACATATGTTGGTTTATCTTCCCATGAGTTAAAAGCCTCGAGGAGAGCCTTTAATTAGGAATAGAACAGAATAGAACAAAACAGAACAGGAGTAGAGTAGAGTAGAGTAGAGTAGAGTAGAGTAGAGTAGAGTAGAGTAGAGTAGAGCAAAGTAGAGGAGAAAGAGGAAGAGGATAAGGTAGAGTAAAAGAGGAAGAGGGTAAGGTAGGGGTAGGTAGAGTAGAGTAGAGTACAGTAGGAAGAAGAAGAGGGTAGGATAGGGTATAGCAGAGCAGAGCACAGTGAGGAACAAGATAGGATAGGATAGGATAGGATAGGATAGG